TATACTTGGTGAGAGTCAAGGTTGGTTGGGCGCTAGTCCCCGGCGAGTCGCTTAACTCACCAAGTGGCCAACGTTGGACTCGGCGGGTCCTTCCTGTCGAGTTACGGTTGAGCTATTAGGCTGAGCTGTTCGTCGAGCCAGGTCACGCACACGTGTCCCTATGCTACGAGGTCGGGCCAAATCACCCTCCATTAGAAGGGTATGCAAAATGGGAAAAGTCATCGGTAAGCCCGTGGAAGGTGCAAAAGCATAAAATGCCCAATCATGTAACGAAAGGAGTTTGGAACCAACTAAATGCCAAATCATATTTCTAGAAGGAAATATGATTCATTTTTATTCATAAAATAAAAGACTCTTAATAAGTTAAAGGGTTGGAAGTCTACTTTGCTTTCTCAAGCTAGGCATACTACATTAAGGTAACTATATCTCCTATCCCATTATATTTCATGTTTACTTGCATTTTGCCTGAAAAGAGCTGCAAGGAAATAAATGCTCAGGTTAAACAATTTGCAGGGAAGGGCTTCCTAGATGAAAAACATATAAGCTTGGGCTGAATTCACTAAACCTAAAGCCTAATCCCAAGTAAAGGAAAGAGAATTTTAGGCCGACAATCTCTCCAACCATGAAATTGAAGGAAGGAATAAATGATTGAATCTATAATGAAAAAAAAATCTTCATGTAGGTATCAAGGGGTGTTTGGTATGGTGGGATTGTGTTGTTTTTGTGTTTTGGGTTGATCAATACAAATTTGTAAGAAATATGTGTTGTCACATCATATATGAGTGTGCCATTTCAACTAGAAAAATGCATGTTTAACTAAGCATTGCTATTTATGGTTGAAATGCGAAATTTGATATTTTAAGTAGAAATAGCAATTTGTATTGATCAACACAAAAATAGAAAAATCTCTTTGACAAATTTGTATTGATCAACCCAAAACATAACTTAATGCCACTGTTCCAACCCCCAATCTCCAATTAAAATACAAGAGTGCCACCAAACTTGAAACTTAAAAGAACAAAAAGTTCTTTTGTACGTTAACCTTTGACTTCTGCAAAAAAGAGAGATAACAAGCATCATTGTAAAGCTCTACACATTTTTAAATATTCTTGAATTTCCTTATAAAAAAACTATTGGGAAATGGGATCACAAAAAATTTGGAGGAGAAGCTCTAGAGCATATCTAAAGACACAGTCTTTAAAATGTTATTATCCCCACTCAAATTCATTGAGTTTACTGTGTTGGGTTATAGGCAAATTCGTTACAGAATACAAGAGAGCATTGGGTGAGAAATTATAACAACCAAAGTTGAAGAATCTGTAGAGAAACCTTTTGTGAGACAGTAGATTTGATTGAGAGAGAGAAGTGCTTTTTACAGGTAGAAGTAATCGGAAACTTGTGTGTAAACTAGATGGCTTACACCCTTTATAACTCTGGAGAGTCATCTTGAAGCGGAATGTGTTGATTCAAAGAGACTCTTTGTATAGTCATTATTTCAAACTTTTGTAAGTGTTCACAATTAGTTAACAATTAGAACTGTTAACATTTGAATAAAGTCCCTTGATCATATCTAATCAAGTCGTGGCTGTTGGATTTACTTAAACCGTATATAGTTGTGGTTTAGCCTCAAATACACCCCTATGCACGTCTCAAACTAGATGCGATTTTGCATATCTTGCAATTTTGAGATTTTGCAAAAAATCCAGTCTGTGATTTGCAACCATATACAATTTGCGTATGATGTTGTTTGCTTCATTGCAAATCATCTTATCGCAAATCACACACGTGTGTTACGCGATTGCAAGTCTTTATATTTTACTCTATATAACTTTAAAGAGTATAAACAAACTCCTACTTAAAAGTTCAAATCAAGTTCAATAATTTTCCAATGTGGGACAAGTCTTTAAGGAAGAGAAAACAAGTTGGAGAGCTAGTTTTTGTGAAAATTTAAAATCACTTTTTAAGGTACATGTATAAATGTGTTTTCCATGTAATTTATCAATCAAACACCTATTGGATTTTAATCTTTAGTGAGATAAAAGTCCAACAACATCGTTTGAAAAATAAAATTTAGAGTGCATTTGAAGACAACAATGATTTTAGCATTACATCTCATCTTGAAAAAATTGTTGCAATTACTAACTTTTCCTTCACCAACAATGTTGTCATCAAAGACATTCATATCGATTCCTTCACTTCTCTCCATTTAAACTTTTATCCCTAAGACATATCTCATTATTACCAATTATGGTTCAAATTTTTTATAAATCAACAAATCAATGTCGTCTTTGATACCAATGCCTTTCTGCCTCAAACATTTAGGCTATGTTTGGTTTGAAGGAAAAAGGTAGGGAAAGGTAGGGAATTCCTTCAAACCAAACATACCCTTAGGGTTGATCAGGAATTGTCAAATCACATAAAAGAGTTACTTCAACAAAATAAATGCATGTGGGGACTAATCATTGCCATTTAGAGTTGAAATGTCAAATTTTATATTTTAGGTAAAAATAACAATTTGTATTGTTCAATCCAAAACATTTCAATAGAAATAATACATATGACATTACTAACCGCAAACATTTCAAGTAAAAAACAACCAATTCAAAGATCCACATCCACAACCCATGACCTCCAACATCTTCTTCGAAACAACTATGCTAGCAAATTTGGACTTGAAAGATGATAAAAAAAATCAAAGAACAACCCCAAGAGATAAACAACCATCAAAATATTGTATAAGAGGATGTATTCTATTTAAGGACAATTTAGACAATCAAAGGACAAAATTAGATTTTTAAAAGTATTATCAAAATTCACCAAAGGGAGGGGGTCGTTTTCTAAGAAAACGGTGTCTTTTTTTTTTTCTATTTGGAAATGTTGCTGTCAGGTAAGACATTTCTTGGAGCAACAACACTTTCTGTTTGGTACCAATGCTCCATGTCTGTTTTCAGCACTGGTACCCATTATAAAAAATCCACGTCATTACCACATCACGTCCTCGTTGGCAGCAACAAGCTGCAATATGGAAAAATGCCAAATCCAACATTGCTCCAAATGACGCCTTCTCGATTTACAAGACGTGGCTTGGAGCATTGTTTTTTATGAAAAAAACGGTTCCAAACAAACAGGTGTTTCCTGAAGTACTGTTTTTTCTGATATGGCACTGATGTGTCACCGTTTCTGGATCAACGGCATCGATGCCAAACAGATGCTAAGAGAACTTATGAGCTTAACAAGATAACTTGGGTTGCAATTTAGATGAATAAGAAGATCAGCAAATAGAATGGCTTATGCTTTAGTTAAGCAATGAGTCAATTGGTAGGCTTTGTTTTGGCCTTGTGTTTGTAAGACTGCTTATGTCTAAGAGTTATCCATCGATTCTTTGGGTGGTGATAATTGTACGCTATTTAATCTTATCAATGAAAGTTACCGTTTCTTATAATAAAATGCATTAGTTGTATAAAACAATATTGGCAAATCTTGACATTGAATATGAACATAGAGTTCATCAATATAATGCAATTAAACCGAAACTAGATAATGTGAGACGTTTGATATTGTATGCTATTGGTAGGAAAGATAACGCGGGACTCAAAATAAAGAGAGTATTAGGGAGGGAACAGGACATTTCATGAGTGGAAAGAAGAAAGAAGTAGAAGTACGACCCTGTTATTTAACTCAACAATTTTCATATGAGGCCAAGATTACACAGCTTCAACATAAAATGTATTCAAGTTCACAGTGAGATTACTAAATACCAAATCTTAGTTCAGTTTTTTATTTTAATCACCAAGTCATTAGTGTCAATGTCTAAAAAGATGTTTGCTGATAAAAAAATGTCTAAAAAATGTTTTCTTACTCAGTTAATTAGGTAAGTGCAGAAGTTACTGATTTTCAAAACTTATGGTAAATTGCACTGAGATAAGAAACCATCTTGCCCATATTTTTGCTCTAAGTTACCACTACCAGTATTATACTATTATCTTTATTGACTAGAGTGGAATGAGAATTTTTGTTTAAGATGAATTAGTGTGTTCTATTATTGTACCTGTGCACTATCTCAGGACAGTATCCAGTTATCCATTAGAAAGAGTGACACCTTTGGAGGTATGAGCATCAATTACCCAAGAGCCTTTTTTTTTCAAAGAATCAAGAGAAATTTTAATTAAAATAAAAAAGGAATAAGTACAGCATAGGTGACAAAATATCACCAAAAGCAAGGAAGCAACACTAAACCACATCTTACACCCGAAATAGACCAAACAACTCCTAGAGAAGATCAAAGAACCGGCCCAATTCAAATCCCAAAGACTATGAACACCAATCCAACACTAAACCAAATCAGCGAGACCTTCCAGAAGCTCACACCAGTCTTAATCTGTAAGCGCACCCTCTTGTGTTGAGTAATCCTCTCATCCCAAACCTTGTTCCCCTGGGTATAAGCTTTGTTCTTCTCTTTCTCTTCCTTTTTGCTTCTTTCAAATTTCTCAAAGGCTTTCCTGGTAAATTTCTCACCACCCCCGAAAAAACAGGTCCAAATTTTTCCCAACCGTAACCTCTCTTTCAACTAACTTCTGGATAGCCACACCACTTGGGTCTTCTTCAACAACGTCAGTCTCCTGCAGCAACTGGATTTCACTAGAGTCAGAAACGACACCACTCACAAGAATTTACAAGATACAAGCTTCTTGACATTCAAAGAACTGCTTCTTACCCAAAAGATCAAAACCTTTGTTTTTACTTTTCATTCCTCCATTCACTTGAAACAAGTGAATGGCCTGCCTAACCATGATTCAATCTCAAAGTCACAAGGTGTAGTCATGTGAAATAGTGTTTATATTGTTAATCACTTTAATATTAACTATACACTTGTCAAACCAATAACATAAGCTCAAGGAAAGTTAGCATCCAAAATCACATATCTAACACAAAAAAAAACTTAAAAATTGATAGGCAATAGAAAGAGGAGATTTGCAGCACATAAAGAAAAGAAATGCATATATGCACAGCACAAGGAAAAAAATTGCTAGAGAGGCACCGATGAGTTAGCACAGCACATGATAATCTAGATCAGAAGTCCTCCCTTGAATAGTAAATATGTAGATAACAGTGTTAATGAAAGAGAAGAAATGTTTTTAGTAGTGCAATTGTTAAGATCTTCAATCCAAGCTGACCCACTCTTCTATGAGTTCACATTGATTCCCAACAGAGCGTGCCCCACATGCACATCTGAGCATGCATTGGGAACATCTCCCGTAGTTGTCATTGAGAGATGTTCCCAATACATGGTTGGGGTGTGCTGTGGGGCGCCTGTGGGGAACAGATGCGAATTCCTCTTCTATATATCTGCAGGCAGAAAATCAGATAGCATGATATGCTGGACTTGACTAAATTTAGGCACAATGATTACCACATTCTACAAACATGTACATTGCATCCAAGCAAATAAAACAGAAAAAAAGCATACCAACTTAAAATCAGTTGGCAGTTTTCTATTATTAAGTATAATTGCATATTTAACAAAAATAAATAAAAACTTCATAAAACTTGATAGCCTTCATTAAGCATTTCAACCAGCAGTTAAATAGGTAGTGTTTAACAATAAAGAATAAAAAATATTTGAGGATACAAAGGAGGATACAGATGTAGGTAAAATTCCTGAAGCCTGAACAACTTCCTACTGCAGAGTTTTGTTCAACAAAGCATGTCAAGAACATATTGTCACTAATATAATACAATACTTCAAAATAAAACAGAGAGAGGATAAGAAGACTTACTGCACAGCAAAAGACCTAATCAAGACCTCTTGTCATGATCCTGCAGATGCCCTTTTCCAGCACCAGTCAACTCTTTGCACTTGTTTATGCTTGACATCAATCATACTCTGGTCTAACAAACCTGCTGCTACAAGAGGAATCATCATAGGCCTCCTCATCTTTATCATATGATCTTGAAGGATCATATCTGTCTTCAAACATATCTTGTGTCACAGTCTCTGTTTTACGACTCTTATATACCCTCTCCCTCCATCTATTTTTTATTTCTGGCATTTGATGTTTCTCCTCACTTACATCACTTTCAGGAATCGAGGAAGAAAAGGATGTATTATCATGATAATTGGACCTATGAGAACAAACACGATGACTTCTGTCATACTTGGTCTCAGTAACATCCACATCATCTCGCTCCTTTTGCCTTCTAGATTGCTCGTATGACCGACCTTGACTCCTGTAACTTTCTGAATTTCTGGAACTATAATCTTTATCTCTTCCAACCTTACTATAACCTTTCTCTCTTCTATCCTTACTATAATCTCTCTCTCTTCTATCCTTACTGCAATCTCTCTCTCTTCTGTCCTCGCTATAATCTCTCCCTCTTCTGCCCTTGATATTATCTTTCTCTCTTCTATCCCTACCGATACATCTCTGGTGGTTCTCTAGAGATTCATGGTGATCATCAGATTCATGTCTCTGTTGATGGTGTGGATTCCTTGAGTCATGGATCACTCTAAATCCTTCTCTATCTTTACTGCGAGCATCATCAGATCTTGCATGTGCCATACTATGGTCAGAACGTGATTCTTTTCCGTGGCTATGTGATGGACCGGGACATGCTTCAATTGAGTCATATGCACTGTTGTTCAACTCACTAACATCTGTAGTCATAACTTTATCAGAAACCATTCCGGATAGAAACCTCCCACCCTCTGAGGCTCCTTTCACAAAGCATCCAATCCCTCCTGCCTGTTTAATTTTCTCCATGTGCTCCTCGATTATGTCCCGCATCACCTGGAATCAAGTGGAGAAATAATATGAATCATGTATGGACTTTGGTGGTGTAAGGGCTGAAGATAGAATATGTCCATTAGTGAGCAATTGGACTGTGTTTTTCTTTCCCTTCTTGAAGAGGGTGACGGATTGTACTCATCTTTCTCTTTTAGTAAGAGTAACTAAATCCTTTGATCTCATTAATGATAAAGATAATATAATAACTGTATTTCTGAAAACAACTTGCCAGATTGAGAAACGATGAAAAGGTATCACAGAAGATGAAGAGGTGCAATTGAGAAACTTAGAATAAATAACCAGTTTGTATTTTTTTTAATTTTCTGCCAGGCAATAATCAATGCAGATTCGAAAAGATCCAATAGGGCATAGAACAACAATTGATACATGGGAAAAAAGCAGGAGATTTGAAATGAAAGAGCAGAGTCGGTGGAAAAGTTGTTTCCTACCTGAATTTTTGTTCGCTTCACCTTCTTACCGCGGTATGACATTCTTCGCCGTTTGTAATCCCTTTCCTCTGCCAGCAGTTCTTCTCTTGTCCTAGCCTTACTTGTTTCCTAAAAATTCATTAAACCAATTGTGAGATAAACGTTGGCATACTAGGCAAGCTTTCTAAAAAAAATTACAAACCAGGTTCAAAGTATCGATACGCACAAACATTTGTATTAGGTATTTTAATACAGAACAACTTTTTAGTTTTTTTTTCAAAATTGCCTCAGGGGGTCAGTTTTAGGCCTGCCTACCCCCCTGAAACAGGTCAAAATCTGAAACACCCCTGATTTAGGGTTTCAGGGGCCTGCCAATACAATACAATATACCCGATCCAGGGCATATTGTATTGAAATTTTGAACCGTGATTACAAACAAATAAACAGTGAGGCATGATGCCATTGTTCTTTATGAATAATAATGTCCTAGGATACATTAGCTTTCTTGTCAGGCTCCCCCTATAATAAAAAAAAAGCCATTACCCAATGCTGGTCCCAGCTATGTGGGGTTTTGGGAGGGGTAGACTGAATATGGTCCTAACCATCTACATTTTTTTTCACAAAGTGGCTGCTCTCATACTCAAACCAGCGTTCTCATGCTTGCCAGCCCAAGGTTTTACCATTACACCAAGTGAAGTCCCCTAAGCTCTCCCTCTATTTCTACAAAATCTATTGGTAGTTGACCAAAAACCAACACAGGTTTGATGAACTTGAATCTCATCTAAGGTTTGGAAATATTAATAAAGTAAATAGGACTCAGCCAATGTACATTGTCTTTCTAGAAAAATAAAAATTAAACAATTAAATTGGCATATATTGCAGATCCAGTAGTCAACAATTGTCTTGTTATAACTTGATATTGATAATCTTTTAATTGATGTTTCATTTATTTTCAATTTAACTTAGCATGTACAAATCATAGAATTATATTGATAGATTGAGATATAGATGGTTTCACCATCTACCACCACAAACATCTCTAGTTCTTGAAACACCAAGTTGTCAATGCAGCTTCCTTGATTCATCATCATCATCCAAACCATATCTGTACCAAGGATTTAAATATTGATACGATACATCCGATACGGGGCGTATCGTATCGGTATCGGCCAGAGGGGATACGGGATACGTTACGACTAAACCCGTATCCCCTTAATCGCACGTATCGGAGCGATACACATTCGTATCGGCCCGTATCGTGATATATCGGAGCGATACGCGCCAATACAGATCGGCGTGTTTATTGCGCCCGCGCATTTATTTGAAAAAAATGCACCTGGCATGATTCCAACACAAATAACCCAGTGTTAAAGCCTTAACTGCGCACTTGATCCACTAAACCAAATTTTTTCTTATGAAATAACTTTTTTCTATTCTAGTGTCTACATGTAATGCAGAAAAATTACATTTGTGTTTAACAATTCCAACAAAATAAAAAATAATAATATTCAAAACTAATATTTTATAAACTAATAGAATAAATAATTTCTTAAATCCACATTTATATCAAAAATTTGTTTAATCTCAATAAATTTATACAAAAAAAGATAGTAATAATGGAATAATTATTTTAGTACTTAATATTTATAAATTTGAACATGACATGTATCTTAAAACTTTATAAATTACTAATTAATATTTTAATTTGAACAAAATAAAAGAATATATATTATTTATAAAAATAAAAATATTATTTACAAAAACCTCAAGAATATAATTAAATTGAATTTGTCAAATCCATTAATCTACATTTATATCAAAAAATGATTTTTTTATCCCAAAATTTATGGAAATAAAAATATTAATAATGGAATAATTATTTTAGCAGTTAAAAATTATGAATTTGCATATGATGTGTATCTTAGAAAATTTAATATATTTGATGTATTTTAAGTTAATATTATATATTATTATAAATTTTTAATTTATATTTTAATTACATTTTATAATAACATGTTTATTTTTTACAAAAATAAAAATATTGTTAACTAAACATTTGAGAATTAATTTTAGTTGACTTTTGGTTAATATTAAAAATTAAAAATAGTAGAATAGAAAATAATCGACATAATAATTCACATATAATAGTTGCATATGTTTTGTGCCTTGAAATTCAATAGAAAATAACATAATAATAGCTTTGTGCATGTATTAATTTTTAAAAAATATATACAATATGTTCCAGGATTCTTGATTGATACGATATCAATAATTATGGCTATTTTGATCTTAAAAATAATGTTATTAATATGTTTATGGAATTTATATGCAGTTTTTGGCATATCCATATTGTTTCGTCCGTATCATGTGTTTCCAAAGCATATCCATGTTGTTTCGTCTGTATCATGTGTTTCCAAAGCATATCCATATTGTTTCGTCCGTATCATGTGTTTCCAAAGCGTATCCATATCCATATCCATATCCGAGTGGTCCGATATGATACCCGATATTGATACTTTAATCCTTGATTTGTACTATATGGGGCCAGCTACATGAATCCTGTTTCGGCATCCATTCTGTTTAATGCTACACCAATTGTTAAATTATGACTGCTTAAATCATTTCTTACTACTTTGACTCGTATCCTTTTTGGTCTACCCCTAGCCCATCTAGCTCCTTCCACTTGCAACAGATCACTTCTTTCTATGGGTGCTATCCTTGATGATTGAAAATAAATAAATAAATAACAAATCCCAACCGCTCCCTAACCTCCATCCTTCACAAATAAATTTGCAAGAGTACCTTTGCTTTTTCTTTCTTTTTTACATGTTGATATTTTTCATTCATTTGAATAAATATTTTCAATCATAAAAGAAGTCAAAAGAACATCTGGTAGTTAGAACACCAGATATATCTGGTAGTTAGAACACCAAATTATACTTCCAGCTTGAATAAGCATAAATGATAAAAAAATGATTCATCAAAAAAAGAAAATTAATGAAAAATGAATAGAAAGTTCTAGTCACAGGTATGCATAGCTCCTACCATGCTTCAATTACATCACATGCTCACAGGTATTGAAATTTATTATATTAAAAAAAAGAAATGTGTACTCAAGGGATACACAAGAGGAGCCTGATACAAAGATAAAAATAAAAAAAGTATTCTGCATTCTCAACCTCAAAAGGGAATATTCAGAACCTCAAATGTGCACTAAAACCTCAAAAACATAACAGAAACAACCCAGTTACTAGTCCAGCCCAATACACACCCAACTATAACTCATAGAAATTACGAACTCAAATTAACCCCCAAAAAACCAACAGAGCCCCAGGAACACCATAATAAGTAATACAACCCATGCCCACTAAACTACGAGGCACCTGAATCCTGATCCAAAGAAACAATGATACTGCATTACTGCTCCAATGCTCTGAACAAATTACATACAATTACTAGATAGAGTCTGCTTTCCTTCTTACCATAGTTTTCAAGGCGCCAAGGCGAAGAACCTTTTTTTTAAAAAAGAAAATTATTAAAATAAAAAGAAGAAGAAGAATATAAGCATACATCCAAAGACGTGTACGCCTTTGGATCATTAAAGACATGTTTTAATAAAGGCCAGTGCACGTGGACCCTCCAATTAGAGGTGTACACGTTGCCTCATTGGTATTAACAACAAACTAATGGGGTTCTGCTGTTAACATTCATTCGACTGGTTGAACCGGCCACTAACAGACAAAAAAGCCAAAATCCCTTACAATCGGCTGGTTGAAGCTTCCAAGACACAATTTTGAATTTTCCCTTCCCTCTCACATTCGGATTCACCTCCCACAGTCCCACCCTTTCATCCGAAAACTATCCCATTACAATCTTCTTTAAAACATGCCTTTGGAATATAAGCATACATCCAAAGCCCCATTATTTATTTTAATAATAAATAAAAAGAAAATTATTAAAATAAAATATAAGGGCCAGTGCACTTAGGCAGCACCTTTTTTTAAAAGGTGTCTTTTTTTGCTAATTCTTTTGTAGACTCAGATTCTGTAATGGTTTATCAAGTTGTACAATATCTTTTTATTGCAAAAGGTATTAATTGGTTGGAAATTGAAAAGAGAATTCATCAATTTAGACCCACAAGAACATACAAATAATAAGCATGTTTTATTTTATTTACTTATTTATTTATTATTATTATTATTTGGAAGCTAAATAAAGACAAGAATTTTATTAAAAAATAAAGGATACAAAAGGCTTAAGTGACAAGATGTCACCAACCAAACCACACTAAAACCTCATACAACAATTAAACCAACAAAGTGCACCAAAATCTTCTTTTTTGAGGCCTTCAAACTCTGGGTGAATTAAGATCCAATCTAAAAGCTTTGAACTGATAGCTGCCCCTAACTTTTTTTACTCTTCATCTTCCCATAAAAAATTCTTCTATTTCTTTCCTTCCACACCTACCAAAAAATGGCAAAAGGATGAAGCTCCATATGGTTTTGACTTTGGTGTTCCTAGATAATCTTGGCCATGCTTCGAAAAATGTCAGCAGACCTATTAGGAGAGCAGCCATATGCTCTGAAAAGCTTGAAGAAATAAGCCCAGATTCCTTTTACATAACCGCAATTAACCAATAAATGAAATATGTCCTCTTCCTCTAATAGACATAAGGCACATCTGTTTGGCAAATTGAAACCTCTCTTCTTCAACTTGTCTTGCATGAGAATACTGTCCATTGGCACCAGCTAAGTGAAAGCCTCCACTCTTGGAGGAAATAGCTTCCCCAAATTCCTTTGACTGGAGAGGCTTCCACTGAATTCCTAATCAAAGCATTGTAGAGTAGTTTAACACTAAATCTTCCATTTTTACACTCCTTCCACCACTTTTCATCTACCAACTCCGGATCAATCACAGCCTTTTGCAACATCCACAGCAGCCCGACACATTCCTCTATTTCCCAATCCAACAATGGTCTCCTGAAGGTGGGACACCACACTGCCACATCATTTCTAACCTCATAACATTGAGAAACCGACACCCCCTTGCTGCTCAAACTGTAGAACCATTGACACAGCTCACATAGTTTGCCCACCCCCCAACCAATCATCTTTGCAAACCTCATGCTAGAACCACTCCCCACCTTCCAAGACATAAACTGATGAGAAGTAATGAATTAAATCTCATGATCCCCTTCCACACATTCACTCCATAAGATCTTACTTGCATTACATCCCACCCAAAATTCACCACCCCATATTTGCACACCACAACCCTTCTCCAAAGCTCCCTCCTCTCCCTCCCAAACCTCCATACACATTTCCCCAACAACGCTTTAAATCCTCACTCTCCTAACACCCAACCCCCCATCTTTTTTGGCCCTACATACCCACTCCCTTTAAACCAAATGAAATTTCTTCTTCTCCACCTTAAGATTCCACACAAAATCCCTTTCAAGGTTTTCTATTTCTTCTATCACTGAATCTTCTCTACACAATAATTATTATTATGCCATTTCTTACTAGGGTGCAAATCGGGTTGCCCAAATTGAAGAACTTTAACTACATCAAGCTCAGGTTAGGGCTTAGGCCCATTAAAAATTTAACAATTGTTCAACCCAACCCAACCCAATTGCACCCCTATTTCTAACCATGTTGTGAAATCAAAAAATAAAATAAATAAATAAATACAAAAACATAAAAAGGCACCTGGTTCTGTGATGGCTGCAAAAGAAGTCCATCATGCTCAATAATAGGTCTGTAATTCAAACGTTTATGACGCTCCTCATCAGCTCTCATTGACAAATTTGTATATTCAACCATCCTGGATAAAGCAAAGAATATTTGTCAGATACTTCAAGTGAAGGAATAGTCCTTAAATTAACCATATTTATCAGTAAGATTGTAAATCATTGTACTACACATAAAAACTATGTCAACTGTCAAGTGAACCAAATACTGAACCAATACCGAATCTCATTTTTGAGTGGAAAATTTAAAACAGGAAGGAAAAAGGATTTTTAACCCACTATGTTTCAGATTTTATGTTTGGATCTGAAAAGAAAACGAGCCAATGGGAATCTGTAAATTAGCATTTTTGTGACTGCATTTTCAGCCATTCTAGCAAATTTTGAAATTGGCAAGGGGGGTTAGTGATTCCGTTTTCCATCAGTGTTCTCAATGCAGTGTTTAAAAAGTGCAAGAAACAAAGCGAGATGTGCACCTTTTTGAAGCAAGGCACAAAAATGCAAAAAAAAAAGATTAAATTTTCAAAAAAAAATGCAAAAACGCAAAAAAAAAAAAAGTGTTAAACATAATATTAATTAAAATATAAACTAAAATTTTAAAATAAATGTTTTAAAAAACTATTATCTCAAATTAAAATACATAAACATAACATGTAAAACATACTTAAAATAAGATGCAATACTCAATACTAATACATTGAGCCTTGCTTCCTAGGCAATCGCAGTGACCAGTTGGTGCCTAGGAATTAAGTACTTAACCAAAAAGATATATTTTCTAAATTTAAGATATTGATGCAACATCCTATTAACATACAAACCAAAAACATGCAATAAAAGAAATAAATTGAGTTCAGAGTCTTGCTTCTTCAAAAAAACCAAAAATAAAAAAAGGCTTGATATGTTGATATAGGGAGTTGTAATATTTTCTTTTCAAAGAAAAACTGTAACTTTTACTATTTGATGTGGTCCCCTTATTTGTGGCAATTCTATACTAGAACACCACGGATTGGAAGACCTAAAAGAACTCTTTTTTTTTTTATCATTACCTAAAAAAACTCTTAATTGTCGTTTATCCTGTGCCTTGTTTTTATTTTATATACCATCACTTAACAATGTATCATCACAAATTCTTGCCTAGGCAACCACATCATGGGTATTGACAGAAGAGCTAGTGATGGAGTTTGTATGGCCCTCAACCTATGATACCCAAACACAACAAGGATGGAGTTTGTATGGCCCTCAACCTATGATACCCAAACACAGCTGACACTATGCCCAGCTGTGTCCATGCCATATCTAGGTAACATAGCCTAAACTGACCAGTCAATTCTTTGACAAACTTGTCCACTCAATATGCCATTTTCCTTTTTTCCACTTTTGTCCCCTGAATCAAATTATCACCTAAAATATTTGAAGCAAGATCAAAGCCATCTTACAAATATAAAAATAAGAGGGAAAAAAGCAAAAGGTTAGAACTTTTCTCAATGCAAAACACAGAGCCCTATTATGAGGCCACATATCACATGTTTCCATCAAATTCCAACAAAACCAAGAAAACGCATTTTGTTAGCAGCCTAAAAAATGGGCTCAGACTTTACTGGAATTATTTTTTATGTTAAAGCATTCAAAAATATACATACTCCTAAAGCATGAAGTAAACTTTTATTTCACCTTTTTTTATCAGTAACCATCCTGTAGACCATGTTTCAGATAACCTTTACCAACTTACTGATTCTTCTTTCATTTTTTTATTGATTATTTAAACTCTGTTGAGGCCAAGGGTTTTGTGACCTAATTTCAAAGTAAACCAACAAGTGTACGAGTCATCAAATAAATGAAGAAAGAAAATTATATAACCGTCCTAGTTGTTAACAATTACTTAGAATGAATTATACCATTTAAACAAGTGCATGAATATGCAAACAAACAAATAAAAATAAAAGTTTAGAATAAGAGGACCCATACAGATGAGATTTGGAAATTGGCCCCGCATATCTTAAACCCCTGACCTTTTCCTCAAGCAAGGATCGTTCCTGCAAAGCAGCAATTGCTGCTGCAACTTGGGAAACAAAAACCTGGCTAATACCAGCATTTTCATCACTAAATAAACTCCCACCTCCATGTTTTCTACTGTTGGAAGGCTCTTCTAGTTTGACACCTCCTGTTGTTTCTAATCGAACAAATTCACTGCCTAAATCACTGACGCTTTCATCAGAATTCCCATGATCTTCCGCTTTAGAATCAATAGCTACTGCCTGTCTCTGACCCAAAGGAAACAATAACAAACCGGATGCAGCATTTAATAGAGAGTGCTTAAGCATATTAATAGAAAAGAACTTTCCATTTGCTTCCCCGTACAAAACAGAAAGCTGAGATGCTAACCATTTCAGCACTTCAACCAAAATTGGACACTCAAAACTCAAAGTCTTTGGGTTCAACTCCCCGTTGCCCTCCTTCGAGGCTTCTCTCAACAGCAACCCACTAGAACGAAATGCTTCGCGTGATATTGCTTTCAAGCACAGTTTCAACAGCAGAAATATGTGATCCCTCATATACACGTCTATAACAATTCCATAAAGCGGCGAGTTTGAAATTACCCATGTCAGCATATCAGCCTCTTTAATCATCCGTAAGCATGAAGCAACTCGAAGAACATTATAAGAATAAGAAGATGGATAATCATTCCACAACTCTAATTCATTTTTCAACGCCCACAATTCCGATGGAAGAATCGTCAGATAATCTCTCGGCAAATCCATAACTTCTCCGTAAGTGTTAGAAATAAAGTTCGCGCACTCCAAGGATAAAACGCAGGGAAGTGTAAATGTCTTCTTTGCAGCATCTTGTTCAGAGGAAGAAACAACACCCGGGCAATCCCTGTAAAAGAAATTGGTACCAAAATCACCGTAATCATCGAGAGAAAAGCACAGCTCAGAATCGGGTTCCTCCAGAGACTGAACGAATCGGTTTTCTCTCCGCAACTCGTCTTCCGTTTTAAGAGAACTGGGATAATGGAGAGACTCCAGAAGTTCGAGATCGACAACAGCAGGCGAAGAAGAGCACCGGAGAGAATGACGGAAGAGGAACTCCGGCGCCATGCGGTGGCGAGAATCAAACGGGCAGGAACAGAAATCATCGTCGAATTCAGGGGGTTTGCCGGAATAGAGAAGATCAGAGACGGCCTTTACGGTGCTCTCGGCTAGATTGATTAGGTCTTTGATTACTGAAACGGTGCCCTGAAGATCGAGATTTGAAGGAGGGTCGGAGATCGTATCAGAGGAGATTATAGGAACAAGTGTGTGAGGGTTTGGAGGAATAGAGTAAGAGAAATTAGTGTTAGGGCTAGGGTTAGGATTAGGGATTTGGGGAAGAAAAGTGAAGGATGGATGGAAGAAGGGATTCGGAGGATTCATCTTCGCGGAGTACGAAGCGGGAAAGTTAGAGATAAGTTGAGACGTTAAACTCTAAGCATTAATACGAACGAAAGATACAAAAATACATGTATACGTTACGAAAATGATACAAATTTTATAAATATATCAATTATATTACAAATAAAATATAAATATATAAAGAAATATATTACTAATATAACAAGATACATAAATAAGAGTTCAATACTCTTATTATATAGTTTTACAAAGTAAAGTATGCATAAAACCATTATTATGTTAAATTCTATAAGTCTAAGTTACAAAATATATCAATTATTATATTTTAATTGCTATAGCAATTATTTTATATTTTTACTTTTCAAAATTAACAAAAGGATCAATTAAATATTAAATTTTGAAATGTTTGTTAATATCAAAATTACTATCATATGAAATTTATAATTTTTCTAATATACATATATTATTATCATATTTTTACTTTTAATCTTAACTAAAAGTATATCAAAATTATTAAAATTTCTAGCATACATATTATATGAAATTCATAATTTTTAATTATTAAAGTAATGATTCCATTATTAACATTTTTCTTTTCTATAGTTTTTTTTCTGAAATAACAAATCATTTTTTATATAAATTTAAATTAGTGGATTTGATAAATTCAATTTAATATTATATTCTTGAATATTTTGTAAACAATTTTTTTTATTTTTGTAAATAATAAATATGTTATTTTTAGTCTAAATTAAAATATCCATGAATAATTTATAAACAAATATATAGAATTTGAAGATACATATAATGTACAAAATTATGAAATTTAAGTACTAAATTAATTATCTATTATTAATATTTTTATTTGTATAAATTTATTGAAAGTAAAAAACATATTTTGATATAAATCTAAATTTGGTAGATTATTTAATTTATTAATGTTTATAAAGTAGTAATTTTTAATATTATTTATTTCTTTTAAGTTAGAATTATTGAACATAAACATATTGTATCTTGTATTTGTTTAGGTTCATATTAATGATAAAGTTAATAAAATGTATTTTAGTTCAATTAGTATCACAAATTGAATGCTAGCATAGTGGCTTAGAGTGTTGGCGCATAATAGCATGTGTGCGCTGAGGCTTGAGTTCGAATCCTCATGTCTTTCTTAGACAAGATAATAGATGCGTGCATGTATCGAGTCATATCGGTCTGTATCGGTTGATTACACACGGATACGGTGTCGATACACAGACGTGTATCGTATATACAATCGAAACCCTACATCATTTTACTATTAACCTCTCCACCGCCGAAGTGCTCTGCCGTTGTGTTCCTTCGCAAAGGGAGGTTTTCTCCACTGAAGCGCTCCTCCAAGCTTTCTCCACCGCTCGCATGTCATCTTTCTCCTTTGTTTCTATTATTGTTGTTGGTGGGATTTTGTATGAATTGGTTAGGTTTTCTGTTGCTTTCGGTGGGTTTTCTATTGATTTTTGTTGGGTTTCTATATGTATTGGTTTTTATTTTTGTATTTTGTAAGAGTTTGGGTATTGTTTGTATTGGTTTTTTGTATTATGTTGATTTCTATTGGATTTTTGCATGTATTGATTTCGTTGTTTCTTTCTCCACCATCCTTTTTCTTATGAAAAGAATAAGAAACATGCCATTGATTCATGGCAATTCTAATCCAAGACAAGATGATAAGCAAATATTAAGGTCCTCTAAATTCAACAGTGCACATCTACCAAAAGCATAGTCGTAATATGCTCTGTGGTGGAAGTGTAAGCTAGTTGTTGGTATAGTATAGTTGTCTATCCAAATCCAACTCATCAACCTGGACAAACCAACCAGTTGGCTAATCTATCAAAATGGCCACCAAATTGTCCTTCCATAATATAAGTTTAACAATTTATAATTGTTAAAAAGGGGTTGAGATTTGACAAAAATTTAAGGAGCAGGAAAAGCATTTTTGAACTTCACATAAACATACATGCTAAACAAGTAAACTAAACTCAGATTTAATTCAAACAACATGCCAAACAAGTAAACTAAGTGAACAAGTAAACTTCACATAAACATACATGCCAAACAAGTAAACATACATTATAAAAACTATTATAATGTGCATTGTATTCCTATAATATGTGGATATGATCTTGTAAACTAGGTGATGTGTTGAGCAAGGCAGCTTGCTATTGGAGCTCGCTACAAGGGAGCTCGCTACAAAGGAGCTCGTTATTGAGCAACCCGGAGTTTTCAGGAAACTCCTTATCCGACAAGACCGTGCCTGCCAGGCTGCTCCCACGTCTCTTGTCTGGCGGTGCAGCACCTGCTAGTCCATAGGACTGCGCCCACGTCTCACGCCAGGCGGCGTCATGCATGTCAACTCTGCATAACGTCTCTCAATTGACAGGACCGTACTCTGCGACGGTTACCTGCACCAATCGAATCAGCCTGGCGAATAACGACTGTAGTAGAGAATCAGAGGCGGTTACACCCGATTTGACAGAGCATCAGTATATAAGGACTCCAACTCCCAAGGAAAAGGGTAATCGAAAATTGTGCATCTTCACTCTTAGCATTTATTCCTTCGCAACTCTCTCAGTTTTTTGCCGAGTACTAACTTAAGCATCGGAGTGTTCTCGCCGGGCAAGCTCCCCGGGAATCCTTTACCTTCTTCCTTGCAGATACCTCATCCAGCGCCAGCTAGGAGTGATCAGATCACGCTACATCATTTGGCGCCATCTGTGGGAATCGCTTCAAAATGCCTCTCACCAAGCAACTTCGGTAAGACTTCAATGACTTCCTCCAGCAACGCCGGACGAAGTGCCGACCAAAACACCTCTGGGGAACGACCTCAGCTCCCTACCGTTTGCATTGGCCAATTCACTGTACCCCTCTCTGCGGACGGAGTCCCTACCCTGAGCGCGCCTCAGATCATGGCGCCAGTAAGTGCTCCACTCCCCTCGCCAGTAGAGGCGACCTCTGTAGAACCATCAGTTCTCCCGGTGGTCGGACATAACCAGCTAGAAAACTTGGTACACTACGTGCGAGCTATGCAAGCTCAAATGCAGCAGGTCCACCAGTTTCAGTTGTACTAACAGCAAATGCTCCACCACGTCTACCAATAGCAGTACCAGCAGTGGTTCCCACCGCTGCCTCAGCATCAACAGCAAGTTCCACCTCGACACCCCGCTACGCAACAGGCCCAGCCCCGCCGTCGCAGCGAGCGTCTCCCCCGTCGAGGAGAGACCTCCCGAACTTGGAACCCTCTTGGAAGCCAGGTCTCATCTCATGGCATGAGGGAAAGACAAGTTACTCCCCCCACCTCGCAGCTTGTAGTCAGGTCGGGGGCCTCTCAGCCAGTCAGACCCGCATCGTCTCAGCCTTCATAGTTCGAGCTTCCGCTTGCCGAGAACTAGTTCGAGGTTCTGGCCGCAGACTGTAGACAAGGCCCTTCGGTTCACAGCCATCAGCAGCAATCCGAGCCCCTTTTTGGGCCAACGAAGCAATGGAGACGCCGCTGAGCTCGCCGAACTGCCACTCACAACCTGCCTGAGCTCAAGGGTAAGGAAGAGGTGAGCTCGGATGAAGTGAAAGCCACTCCACTCCTCTCAGTGCCGTCCCCCCTGTCTCCAGAACTTCTAGCCGTCCCTATGCCAAAGGACTTCAAGCTTCCTCCCTTGGACAAGTATGATGGAACGTTCGATCCAAATGACCACGTCGACGCCTTTCAGTCGCAAATGCACTTGGCAAGGGCCAGTGAGTCCTGCATGTGCATGGCCTTCTCCACTACCTTCAAAGGAGTAGCCCGCACATGGTACAGGAACCTCGCGCCCGGGTCAATAAGAAGCTGGGCGCAGTTCGTGCAAGTCTTTACCTCCCATTTCGTCACCAGCAAGCGGTGCCCGAGAACCCAGGAGAGCCTCCTCGGCATAGTCCAGAGGGAAGGGGAGCCTATCCGCAGCTACATCAAGTGGTTCAATGACGCTTGCCTACAGATACCCCACTTGGACCCCGTAGTGCGACTCACAGCAACCAAGAGAGGCATAGCGCACAAGGAGTTCAGGTGGCATGTAGTTGTCAACCAACCTAAGACTGTGACCGAGTTCCTCAAGCTCGCGGACCAGTTCATAGGGACAGAGGAGGAGATTAACTAGAAGAATGAAAATGTGCCTCAAAAGAGGAAAAGAGAAACTGAGTCCTCGACCCACGGGGACAACAAGAAGAAGAAAGACCCAGCTCGGGGGGCAAGACCAAGTCAGCCTTTCCGAGCCCCTCCAGCAGAAAGAACTGATACACACCCCTGAACGCGTCCGAGATCCTCATGGCAATCAAAGACGCCCCGTATGTGAAGTGGCCACCCCGGCTGAAAGGGGACCCCAATGTAAGGAATAAGAATCTATATTGTAGTTTTCATAAAGATCACAGTCATAGTATCGAAAGTTGTAAGAACCTCCGCGACGAGATAGAAGAGCTCATCCATTGCGGATACTTAAGGAATTTTTACAAAATAATAATAATAATAAGGTAGGTCGGTAAGGGGAGCAGGGTAGAGATGCTCCCGAATCCAGCAGCAGGCAAGCTGAGCAGCCACAGAGGTAGCCTCCCGAAGAGAGACCAGTTCGGGGCACTATACATGTGATCGTCAGAGGTTTGATCGTCGCGGGTTGCACTTCGGCAGCAGCTCGGATTTCAGCTCGAGAGGTTGGAAGGAAGGAGGAAAACCCCCTAAAGCGGCCAAGGACAGAAGACCCGATCTTCTTCATTGAGGACGACGCATGCGGGGTCCACTACCCCCATGATGACGCGCTCGTCGTAAAGATAAGGATTAATGACTTCGAAGTCAAGCGTGTCCTCGTTGATTCCGGTAGCTCGGTAGATATTCTTTTCAAGGCAGCATTCAACAAGCTTCAGCTCCAGGAGAGTGATCTCAAGCCCGCAAGTACTCCCTTGGTAGGCTTCAGCGGAGAGGAGGTCAGGCCCCTGGAGAGAATCACAGTACCTGTGCATAGTAAGACTCAACCACGACTTCTTGGTGGTCGCAACTCCCTCCCCA